TTTTAATCTGTATTTAAAAATAATAATTAAAAAAAACTTTTATTTATTTAGTAATGACTAATGTATGCCGCCTCAGACCCTAGGGCTGACTGCTGACCCAACAAACCCCAATAAACTGCTGTTTTTTGTTTTATTAATTTCTGAGTCTCTAGACAAGACCCATTCCAATCTTGACAAGGCAGTTAGCAATTCCAAGCACGGCTCTTCTTGCTTGCACCAATCAATTCCATTAATGTTTAATGATGATAGCCCTCCCTTGACCGTCGCCATCTGGTCTGGTTGCTTATCCATATTATATATATGACTTTCAAATGGACTTGATACCTTATGCACTCTACATACACCCCCAAAAACTTTTAATTAAATGTAAAGTCAATCTGCAATGTAATGTTGAACCACGTAAAAATTATTATTTAAATTTAATATAAAACTTAAGCCTACTCAATTAAAACTTGAAAGATACCTACCTTCATATTACTACAACAGAAATTGTACTTTATTATTGTACATAAACATTCCATATGCCCTTAAAAACTACATATATTTATATAGTCTACAACTTTATTCCATCACTTCCATAAGTTTCTGCAGAGTTACGAAATTTTGCAGCCTTACTTCGGATCTCCACCTATTTAAAAGATCCATTGAATCCCATACGGTTGCTGAAAATAAGACATCGTTAACTGACTACTGATGGAGGAGCATCGGGTTGCTTCTCTGGCATCGCATCTTGAAATGGCGGCAGCTTAACGTATGCATCATTCAACCGAGACAAGAGAGGGAACTGAACCTGCAAAAAGATGGTAGAAGAAAGGAAACTTTGAAGGTGTCCAGAATGAAAGGCAACAAAATGTGAAACCCTAAAGTCAGACCTCCTCATCCTTACCAGAATCAATGGAAAACTAGACGGGAATAGTAGAGTAGTAAATAGTAACACTACAAAATTAATAAATGACAATCATTATTTTTCATCTTGAATAACTTGGATTCATTCAAGTTGACACATCTTGATATGTTAGATGCATATCCATCTAAAAAGCGCTACTGTTTCTACCATGCACATAGAAGCTCTCTTTTTTTCTGAGGTAAGTGCATAAGTGGCATTAGGCTTCACAAGCTTACCATGTTTATCATATCCCATGTGTAGTTTTTTTCAATTACAATAAATGGTTAAATCCAATCTTGCTTTCGCATTATCTTTTGTCATATTGTCATTTATAACAATGTGTATTATATTATCAAAGAAATTCTTTTCATGGTGCATTGCATCAAGATTACGTCTAATAAGATTATTTTGCCAATAAGGAAATTCCCAAAAAATTCACTTTTTCACCCAATTGTGGGTGTTTCCAAAACCCTCAATTGTTTGGGTTTTAAAGGGTTTCCCAAATAACACATCAAGAAGGTTTTCAACTTGGTGATGCATTGAAACACCATCCAATTGAGGAGGGGGACTACCAAATTCAACTTGACCCCTCAAAAAATTAGTCTGATAAAATCTAAAAGGATGTGATTGGGTAAAAACTGACAATGACAATAAAAAAAAGATGGTTTCCAACCATTTTGAAGATAAAAATATCGTGTCATCTCCATACAATATGAATAAAACAACTGACCAAGAGTGCTCAAACCAAACACCATATCGTAACCCAAAAAATCAGTTACGGTCCATATCAACATAGCACATATTATGAAGTTTTGCTTATGATAACTATCGTATGTTTCCACACCAGTCGACTATAACATTTTTAAGTCTTCAATTAAAGATCAAAGGAATACATTGATAATGCTACCTACGCTTTTTTAGACCTACAATGATGAATGTAGGAAATGTAAATTTTGACCGCATGCACATCTCTTGCGACAAGTTATAAATATTCAAAATATTGGCCAACAAGAGTAGGGGGTTGAAGAATGATTCTAGGGGCTGAAACTATTAGTGGCAAGACCTAATTGAACATTACAAGGTTCTCTTTTGAAAGAAGGATGTATTCAATCAAAATGTGTCCAAGCTTCTGATTGTGCTAGATGAATGACTTCATTTGTATCACCACAACATTTTAGATGCAATGTCATGTGCACAACTGTATTTCGAGACATGTATAGCCTCTGAAGGTGAGGTATTATTGGCAAGTACCAAAGTGAATTCCTCATATTGTCCTTCTGTCTTTTCCTCGGATTTCTCTATTTCTACCTTGCTTCTCCACAAATCAAACATGTAGTCAATGTCTTTGTATACTCCCTATAGTATAAAAAACAATAACACAAGCATTAATTTTTAAATAACCCAACCCAAGCCCTTTATAAAAGTTTGTAAGAACTTTTTCTTGATTTTCAACACTTAACAACCTCCTGCATCCTTCGATGATAGCATTAAAACTACCGCCAATTTTATTATTCGCAGTCTTAGTGTGCAACATATAGAAGAGTCAGCTGAGCATTATCTCATTTCTGTTAGAATTACTGAACAATATTGTAGATGCATGAAGCAAGTCATAAAATGCCTTGGCTTGATTGCTCAATTTCTCGTCTAGATGTTGATTAGAGAAATTATCTTCCATTTCCCAATAATCATAATCCTCTGGATAAAATGCATCCTTGCGAAACCCAAGTTTTGGGTTAATTATGAAACCTAGATTGTGTTTGATATTTGGGTTTGAAACTGTAGGTGACAGATTTATGTTGCTATATTCATGTTGCTATGTACTTCATAATTTCGTTCATCCCATGACCTAGATTCAATAGGAAGAAAGGGTTGAGAATCTGAAATTAGGGGAAGAGTAAAAAGAAGGATTTATTTTACAGAAGAGAAGTTAGGGT